GGATAGCACATACGCACCAATTATGACAGTCTCAAAAAGAATTACTACCGTAGTTATGAATCTAACAAAGATTCCCACGTTTTACAATTATAAATTTAGAACAGTGGACATTAAAATATGTAAAACGCAAAAATTTCATCCAGTACTGAACGAAATCAAAATATTTTTTGATACCAAGAATTGTGATATGAACGTAAATATTGCACTATAGAATATTCAATATCAAAACGGTTATGGTGTCGAATACGCATAAGAATTCTTATCTGGGCGACAAAGGGGGCAGTATTCGTGCAGCAAATGAAGGAAGCCCAGAAAGCATGGCTTGCAGTCCTCTTGTTGTTGTTGTAATTGCCCATCCTGGTAGTGGCGACTAGGGAGGGGGGGTGGTAGGTCAGTTTTTCCGGGCACTCGGTGCCACTGGTTGTTCTACGACCATCACTGGCTCGCTGACCCGCCAGAACCATTTTATTGCATTGCAGTACTCGCCAGGAGTGGGCACCTCAGGGCCAACTGTAGCGCACAAAACTGCACCACAAACGCTCTCTCCGCGCATTCATGGCTATTTTCACCTTGAACATAACTAAAATGAACGACATCACACATCACGATGAATATCATCTAAATTTCAAATGGGAGTAAAGACAAATCAGAAGGTATCAGTAGTCGGAGACATGAACGACGATAAGTGGACAAAATCTTTTTGCTAAGTACCAACTCGCAGAATTCAAGTGAATGACAATTTTTTCGCCTGAACGAAGATTAAAATTTACCTCCACTAGCAGAACTTTCCGCGCCTCCTTACTCGAAATTTATTGAGTTAAGGCGAGGTTCGTCCAGGTAGCAAAGTCAAATCAAACAGTTTACAGATCTGAGCAAGTCGAAAAAATAATGACAGCTGAAGAGGTATGCCTCACTCGAGGACAGCCCAGAGATGTAGCGAGCATTCAAGATAGGCAGGAAAATGGAGTCACGCTTCAATACCGCCGTGCCAGCTCGACAGCCCTGTAGGACCCAGCTCTGTCAAAATTAGAAAAAGAACGCCAGCACAACATGAACTAAATGTCAATTAGCGATCATGACACAATAAATTGAAGACAGAAGATCCAAGAGAATTAATGTAGGAGCTTGCGACTTTCATTGTGGTCCAAATGTATGGAGAATTTTCGTAGAATGTTTTTTTTCGATTATAGGCCAATGATCCGTTTCCCAAGTCACAAGTTACTTCACAGAGCAAACACTTGATATTGGTCAACTGATGAAAATAAAGTTGCTCCTCTAACAAGATTTTCAAAATTCCTTAAGAGTACGCGTTACAAGTATAAAACCTGTGTCAGCGACGTCATAGTCTCCACAGAGAATGGAATTCGATGGCGTCAACCGCAGCAAACGCAGGAGTAGAATGTGGCACGCTGCTTCACACCAACCCACCTAGCAAGGAATCGTACGTGCTAGACGTTTCACTGGCAAAAATTAGATAGCTAGTCTCCTCAATGCCGGTACGTCACACGCCTTGGAGCACACGATCAGCTCTCTGAGACAAACACGGGGCGAACAAGCGTACATGTCATCACACATTACATTTTTTCTCCAACAGTGTGACAGCAACAGATGGTTTTTAAATGATTCAGTGATTCACTCAATTGTGTTTGACAATGCAGCAACTATTATGTCTACAATTCATTTCACCTAAGAAGTAAGTTGCTATATCGAAGACCAGGTTTGACTAGAACACAACAAACTAAATAAACAAATGAAAACGGGTACAAAAAAACAAACCGAACAATCATAAACATGACGATGCTCAAAAATATAAAACAATTCATTACAGGTTCATTCTTGGCATTTTATTAAAGGCAAGTATTGATTCGCCGATTCGGCCTCCAGCAAAGATACAAAGCAGTTCATATCCTCGACGATACTGAAAACGAAATGCCATAGCCCAGATGAGAGGAATGTGCCCAACAACCAAGACATTCTCCACGCCTTAGCCGCAGAGGCGCGTTGCAGCCAAGACGCCCACGCCGGAGTCAGGAAGGCTCGCAGCAACCCAGACGTCTGCACCCGAGTCAGGAAGGCGCACGGCAAAACAGACGTCCGCACCGGAGTCTGGAAGGCGCGCAGCAACCCAGACGTCCGCACCCGAGTCAGGAAGGCGCACGGCAAAACAGACGTCCGCACCGGAGTCTAGAAGGCGCGCAGCAACCTCCGCACCGGACTCTGGAAGGCGCGCAGCAACCCAGACGTCCGCACCGTAGTCTGGAAGGCGCGCCGCAACCCAGACGTCCGCACCGGAGTCTGGAAGGCGCGCAGCAACCCAGACGTCCGCACCGGAGTCTGGAAGGCGCGCCGCAACCCAGACGTCCGCACCGGAGTCTGGAAGGCGCGCCGCAACCCAGATGTCCGCACCGGACTCTGGAAGGCGCGCAGCAACCCAGACGTCCGCACCGGAGTCTGGAAGGCACGCAGCAATCCCAGACGTCCACACCGGAGTCTGGAAGGCGCACCACAACCCAGACGTCCGCACCGGAGGCAGGAGAGCGCGCAGCAACCCAGACGTCCGCACCGGAGGCTGGAAGGCGCAGCAACTACGCAAGCCGCACGCGAAGTCGGCGGGCGCTGCAGGCAGGCTGTCAGCACGCAGTCTCGAAGGCACCACAGCAAGCTAGTTTAGAGGGATTTTACCAGTCTCCTATCTCGCCATGCAATTAACGGGCGCAATATAGCATATCACGAAACGATATTGTAAAACACATTAATAGAAACCAGCGACACCAATTATAAAAAGTTAATAACGGAAAAAAGAACGCTGGTCAAAAAGCTTTGATAGAACGACAGCCTTAATTGTGCCATTGCTGAAGCTCCACAGAACTTCAGGCGACTTGAAAAAACCATTTTAAGAACTAACGTCTGACCATGAACAACAGGTTCGTCGTAACAAGATTAGTAAATTTAAGACTTCCAATGAATGGGCATCAACGTAAACTGCTTTCCACTAAATCAAGTGCATGGGTAGTAGCAAAAGACATACCATCTTAAAAAATACTTATGAACACAAGGATGTTCAATTCGTTCCACTAAAAGTTTAAAATACCAGTCAATCCGAAGTTCAGCCGAGAGCTGGAGACACTGTGGCAATGCACGCTGGTCGAGCTCGATTTGCACGAACATTCATTAACTCCTGAAAAATATCACAGGATCTACGCAAATAGTAAATTGTGGATAAAGGGAATTGTAGGAAGAACTAGTGTTTTATTAAACTTCGAACGATGCAATTTCGTAACTTGATGAGCTTTCTAACTAGAAGAAATCTTTGAGCAACAATGAGAGAAGCACTTGTTTCTAGAAGCCCTCATTACGTCAATACGATGAAAATAGTCGCAAAAAACATTACAGATATTTCATCAATTAAATCTACTCATCACGTTCTTCATGACGAGCTGCATTCGATCAATTGATGGTGCAAGTAGCGCATGTTGTAAGCCACAATTCCAGCACACTTCCGTCCGGAACTCTGCCTCGAAGCGCTGTGCTGCATTTCTGGAAAAAAAACGCTAGAATATCGCCTAACCTAAGTAAGAGTATTTTAACTGCAGCAGCGCATGGACACGTGCATAATTCACAATCTATCGATCATAAATTTGAACTGTGACACAGTTCCATCCGTTACCACCGAGGAATAAAAAAGCAAGATCAAATTTTACATTACTCCAATCGACTACAGAACCTTAATAAATCCTAACTAGAGTAAAACTACTGAAAAATAGGCATACCAAGTGAAGTGTAAACCAAAAGCCATGTCATTGTGAAGACAAACTCAAGCGAAGAGCAAAATCGCAGAGTACGCAGTGCGCAGATGATGTACCGCTTCATCAATGCGGTCTGCAACTTATCGGTTATTCCTTAGGCCTGTCAAAAATGTAAACACGCTCAGATACACTACATTACGCAGCAAATCAAGAAGCAACCATCAATGTCATGTTTGCAAGCAAAGTTATAATGTATGCACGGTCCTGTATAATTCATTAATTCAATTGACAACAAACTATACTTGGAGCGATTCAGGTCTCGAAGAGTGATGGGAAGGATGTTGCAGCTGCGATCCAGAGCACTAGCTTTCATCGACAGTAGATGCATACAACACGACCATACGAGCAGCAGCCGTAGCATTATGCGATTTCGCTCGACAAGAAGTTTACAAAGATTAAAGAGCGGAGTAACTTCCGTCCACAGGGAGCGGGGACTATACAACTGACGGTAGTACATGGATGAATTTGCATACGCTTCGGTGAACTGGTGGCTCAATTCTCTTCTGGCTCAAGGGAAATTCACACGTAAGCCCACGCTGTAGATGAAAGGTAATGCAGGAGGTACATCACGTCCGTTGTAGCACACGATCAGCTCTGAGAGACAAACAAGGAGGGCAAACAACCGTACATATCACACATTGAATTTTTCATCATTCAAGTACTATCATAAATGGTTTCCATACAAGTCTACAACTGCACTCTGAAATAGTGATGCAACTAATGCCATATATCATTCTAGACACCGGCTTGATAACTATAGATACCATATTTCGAGCAAGTTGAACCCGTGTCGATAGTAGCGTTTAGTGACTCCAGCTTCATTCCTCATCTCTTAGAATAACTTAGGAAGGGGGGCGAAAATAGGGAACTTGAGCATTAGAAAACGTATTTCTTGACAAACCAAAATCCAGCACCATTAAAATGAGTATAGTTGAGCAGCAAATATCTTACGCTCCACTACAAGGACGGTGCGAATGAGCGCATGGCAATTGAACCCACCAAGAGAGTGAAGGTGTGTCACTAGTTAACCCTCTACCGCCGTGTGGCACTCCAGGAATATAACCTGCAACTTAAATTATATGTAAACTATTGCGAGTAGCAACCTGATGACGTTTATACGCAACAGAGACCATTTTGAAGTTGTCGTACGTGGCGCAACCATTAGTGAGTCATTTTGCGCTCACTAGCGATGTATCCTTTGTGGATAAGCTTGTGTGACAATATTGCTCCGGTTACTCATGTCAGGCGGTAGAGGGTTAAGTTCAAGATAATTCTGACGGACGACGAGCATCCAGTTCCGAGAATTTTCACAACTGTTATCTGCTGACCATGTGCTGGAGGGAAGGCCTGTGTTTACAAACTGCAGCAAGCGTTGCTTGATGCAGCTGTCGCTCCGCTCTACAGTTGGTAGAACTAGACCTGCCGCATTATAATAAATTTATGTACATTGATCTGACAACGGACAATGATCTTACACACGGGCTCTGTTCAAAGAGTTGTATACAAATACACATTTCAATGACGGTTTATGGAGATGCTGTATATATTCCAGGAAAATTTCCTCAGAATTCCAAGTAATTCAGTAATTTCATGTTCATATTGGTCTATAAAATTTTGGTTTTTGCATGCACAACTCGTTTTTCTCATCAAAACTGATATCCTTAGTCAGTACTCCGAATCCTGCAATTTCTCGAGCGAAGTAGATATTATCGTCGTCCCAAATCCGATAGCAAGGCTCGCTCGCACTGGACTCCACAAGTGATGATGCGCAGGCTGCCTGTCGATAAATAAATGAACCACACAAATTTTCCTCATGAGTCCAAACTCGGAACAGAGCACGACCCGAGTAAATATTCTAGCGAACTAAAAAAGGGCAGATTTAAAAAATGACAATATTCTGAGTAATACACAAAACAAAAATCTATGCCTTAACAAAAATACGGCACCATCAACGGGTTTGTAAATAATATCAATTAGGAACGCAGATGAATGGCAAGAATTTTCGTAGGAAGCTTTGCAGTAAGTAATCAACTTTCTATCGCTATTTCGCGGCCTGAAATAAGGCCAATTCGGCACTATAAATCAACGGGTACTTTTTTCAATACAATTACCACCCGAAGCACAGGATAGGGACCGCTCTTGACAGCATGTCTGTAGGCCATCGCAATCCTGCCGAGGGATACTTATAGTAATAACGAAACGCTCCTGAACTCGTGCATACACGACTGGAATTGTCTACATATCGCTTACGTTCTTCAGTATAACTGCACGACTGACGTCTTCAGACATTTTATCCAAACCTGAAATCAACATCAAACCGAATAGTGATGTGCTGTGTTGCTCCTCGCGTTCGGGAATTACAAACCGTGCTGAATTTTTCGATTGGGGATGAATCGTGAAGTTCCGGAGAAGACAAACATTTGGCCTCACCATGTCACAAACTTCAGTTTCCAAACCATATGCTGGGTACTTCTACTTTTATGACGGACTTTAAAATTTCGACAACGAATTTGGGGTCAATTGCAGTAAGATGATGAACGCAACTTGGAGCTCTGTGCAAAATGGTGAAAGCAGGTATTCATTTCAAATTAAATCCCATTGAACAGCAAAATTTCGAAAGTCAACATATGCACAAAAAAGCATGAGCAAATTATTATGGGTACCTGGACCTGGTATCCGTTGGCACGGTTTGCGATTCGCTCATGGCGTTTTTGTTGCCTTCCTTCCTTTTGAAACTTGAGAAATTTCAATAATTCGTGCTCAAGCCAAGGTTTTGTGAAATATATCCAAATGATCAAATTAGTGTCGATACGGTGACGTTTATGAATCAAATAATTCTTGTTTATACATTGCCGCTACCGAAAACAGTTGAGATCACATTTAAATTGAGAACATTTCAAATTTTCCAATATTTTCGATTTATGGTCATGGGGGAAAAAGACTAGTTGCAGGTAACACCACTAGCGCTACCAGATTACTTATCTGCACCGCTTGATAACGTGACTGGTGGTCAACGGTTACTCGATAATACAATAGCTGTCAGCTGAAGTAGCAGCAGGATAATTACAGGCTGTCTGTAGCTCAGCCAAACACCTGTTGAAAGAGATACAGTAATATCGACGGACAACTAAGTCAATTCTTTTTTTTTTATATTTTCCCAAGTACGTAACTTTACCACATATCAAGTATTCGCTGACAGTGACAAGAAACTTTGAATTAGCAGAAGTTTTAGCATAAATAGATTCTCCCTTTAACTGCAGATGAAAATGTTGCGCTGTCGAATAAGAAGACTGATGCTCGTGATACGTAGTTCTTTCTCGACATTCTTTCCCCAAGATCTCAAACGTCAACAGCAGAATTGCCTGCGGATGAGTAAAGATCCATTTCTGAAAGATTTCTAGATTTGATCAAGCGGACTCAATTCGGTCGAGAAATTAATTAGCATTTTTATCGAATATTCTTCAGGCTCCTAAGCAAACCCATCACGGTGGCTGTTTCGATATTCTCGAAAAGATGCTGGTTCGGACTAGGCGGAAGGAAGTTCGTTTTGCTTGGTATGGCACAGCAATGGTGGAGATGTTATGCTTTAAGGTGGAGTGTGGATGGACGCCGCAGGGGGCAGAAATCTAATTGACCATGGCACAGCTGCCGCCTGTTAGGGATTTAATCAACAAGATGAATACGAAAATTTTCATATATTTTGAAAAAAGCTCACAAAAAAATACTTGACACGAGAGGCGGAAAAAGCCAAATATAATTGCACGACGTTTTTATCAAAGGAATTAACAAAATCAACATGGCCAAACAAGGCCATCGGATCTTTAATGACTTATAGGGACAAAGAACAATATTACTTTCTAAAATATGCATTTATCACGACAAAAAAAATCACCTCTTTAAAAGTTACCACCTTACAACGACAGCATATCTGGCGTCATAGCATAACCTCGAGTCTACATCCAGAAGACGGCACAAGGCATGAAGCAACTCCAGCAGCCAACAGGGCGAGGAGCTGGGTGCTAAAGAGAAGCGAGGCAAGCCATCTCGGGACATGGTGAAAGTTGAGGGAATTTTTCGAGAAAAATTCGTGGACTCCGTAAAACATTTGGCTCGCATGTAAGTAATTCAGAAAAAAATGAAGCTAAGGGACAAATTGCGCACAGAACTAAGCCAGAACGACCCTTAGATAGCTATGGTTGCATGCAATGGCAACGTCAAGCGATTAGAATGAAGAGCGATCAGGGACGAGTGATATCTTAATCCAAATAAATCTCCATATTTTGAGTTTAAACATATCCATTACAAAAAGCACGATAGCAGACGTATGATCATATATCATAACATACTGACATGAAGAAAAGTGTTACCCCCAGAACATGGGTAGCAGCAGCTGCACGGCAGTCTTGCAGGCATGTGCATGGCAGGTCAGCGTATCAGCAAACCGGCCACCTTAACTTTACCCCAGCTGGCACGGGAGAGGCACAATGGGTCAGATACACATCACAACCATTCATACAGAAAATGGCCATAAGAAGGACATAACAATTGGATTTAGAAATCAAAACCAACAATATTCAAAATCCATCACTTTCAACAACCGATATTAATGTAAAAGTCAATCAAGCTGGTGATTCTCGGAGCCCAGGCAACCAGGTTTCTTGTTACTCCCTCGGTAATAGCGCATCTCCGATCGGTGAGATGCGTGGGACACGATTCATGGAGATGCGCCAAGACACGATTTTCTGTGAAAGCGTCACACCAACCTGCAAGATAAATTTTATTAGTTTTACAATGAACTAAGATTATGTGAAAATTGTGCACAACTATCAATGGGAACATTGATAGTTGTGCATTTCAAAAATTACTGACCACACCAATCATGCACAAGGACTTGTGTTCTTCCAGTTTACTATTAACTACACAATATTTCAACATTTTATTCAAGAAAAAAATGTCAGGAGACATCAACTATGTATATGTTCATCTAATGCATGCTAATTATTAACAAATCGTGTATGCTATAAATGTTATGATATATATTAACACATAGGAATGAATGAAAACAGGTTAACAACATTCAGGTTTTAGTTTTTTTTTTTTTTTTGTTTTTCATTGAAGATGCAACCATCAAGTATAATCAGAAACGTGTGTATTGAGATTTAATGAAAGTTGATATCTCAGCTGCTTAAGGAGAGCTTATAAAAAAAAACTTATTTACGGACGTGGCATTTTGAAACTTCAATAAAACTTGAAATAATAGAAAACAGCCAAAAAAAAAAAAGAGGGAGACGCAAAAAACAATCTCCTCCTTGGATTTTCAAGCTACAACATGGAGAGACGTATCATTTGATGCCATTTGATGCTTTGATGCCATTTGATGCGCAAGACCATATCTAAAGATACTCCTGTAATTTTTTTATTTTTTTTTTTTCAATTTTGACCCCTCCCCCATTTTTTCTATCGATATTCATAACGAAAAATAATCGAAAAAAATGTCTGGAGGATCTCTGGATAATTTTTTGTACAAATTGAATGGTATGCCTCTCAATGCTGTATTATTTATAAATCATAGGACGAGATAGGTTTTTAAGATGAAAATCCCAACTTTTCAGGAGAACAAAAAAATGAAATTTGAGATCATTGAAGGTATAAATTCAACTTGCGCTTACATGGCTCTCCTGATCTCCTGAACGAACAAATAAACACACAAACATGGCTTTGGGCTCTTTAGATGCGCAGTTTCTGAACCTTTACAAGAGCCTAAAAAACTGCAAAATTTTCTATTTCTGGCCAAGACACTCCCTTTAAAGAATAAATTGAAATGAGAATGATATTAAACTAAGTGTTGTTCTTATACGTACTCAAACAGCAGGTCCTTTTTACTTGGCAACATACAGAAAGAATTTGTGATATCAGAACGTTTTACATGATTTGAGCAAAAGCCTAAGTTCAGGCTTTCTAATCATACAACCTCATAATAAAATTGTATGTATACTTTCCAAAAATAGATATGAATCTATACTACACTTCTATTAACCCAACAAAGTTTCAAATTGCTTTTGCAGGTAATGTACTTCTGACATTAAGATTTTTTTTTCACACACAAAAGAAAAGCAGGTGAAGCCTGTGCAATTGAAGTTTAAATGGTTTTCGTACATATGATCTCATGAAATGTATGTAGATGACATCACATCATCTGAATCAAGTTTGTATAACAAAAAAAAAAACTACAGTAAGTCTTAAGACAAGCAAAATAAAGAAAATTAAAAAATAAAGAATATTTTAATCATGAAATGAAGTCTCACCATGTGAACTGGGTTAAATTCCAACAGCCTGAGATGGACTCATTTCACTTCTTGCTTGAAGATTGGAGGCCCAGGTGAAAGGAATTTTCCATTGTAATTGGCATCATTGCAGACTTCATATACATTGTATTCAGGACCCATCATCAAAAACTTGGGCAAACCTTGCCGTGTAATAATAAATTTTCACAAACTCCATCTGCAAGATCCATGAATTCATCATTAGATTAAATGCATCGAAACCATCTACAAGTTTTATGCAGCAATCTCTCAATTTGCAATGTTACATCACAAAATAAAAATATCTCAAAGGGAAAGACTAGTGTGCTCAGAGCTGCAGACCTGAACCACAGACTACACACAGGACCTCAGTCCACCCTAGACTAGTTCTAGACTAGAAAAACTGGTCATTAAGACACTAAACACTCTGGCCCACCCATGAATGGGAATAATGTCCAGGCTTATGGAAAATTTCAGCCAGTTATATACAATTGTACAATTATATAACGGTTTATTTAGTCACAAGGGGAGTGATTATTTCAATAAGCTTATTTTAATATTATGCTGAACATGTCAGACTGACCTTACTCAACAATTTTGGTAAAGGTCAGTTTCAATTTCAAACATTGAATGAAAGAAATTACCTACTGCAATTGTGATAGGGTGTAACAAGCTTTAAAAAATAGAAATTCACATCTTGATACCATTTCAACTGAACAATACAACTTCTACAAGTAAATGAGTTATAAGGCTATTGGCTAATGACCAGTTCAATGACTTCTAATTTCTTCACAATTATTTACATTAAAGTGGCTGAACTTTATAGAAAAATCATACTTGTATAATCAACCTGCTCCAAATTATCTACAATGTCAAACAATTAACAATTGTTGGTAATTTAAAAAATGGAAATCTATTTCTAGCATCATCAAACCAAAAGATGCCAAACCAGAATTTTGTAGAATCAGTTCATTTGTACAATGCTTCTCTTTAACTTTAATTCTGGTTTGGTTGTTTGTCTGCCACAAATCTTTTAATCAATATTTAATGCACTTTTAGGTTCTTTCTGTCCAATCTAATCTGAAATTTTGCACACTTGAGTAAAGTTCAAGACAATGATTGAATCAATTGACAGAATAAATAGTTTAAAAAATGAAAAATTAATTAGTGAAAAATGGAAAATATATAGGTATATAGCCTAGTTTTTAAACATTTAAAGATAAAAATCATAAAATAAATTCATTTTACATGTGTAACATCAGAGACAATTTACATGTGTAACATTAGACAAAGGCCTCTTCAGAAGTGTTAAAAAGTAATTTATATAAATTTAATCTTTTTCAACACACATCTACTAGTTCTACCTAGTACCTAGCCTACCTGTCCAATCAGGCAATTCAGGCTCACAGGCTGCTGATGAGCTGATCAATTTCTAACCACAATCCTAGGCATAGTGGCAAAGCATAGAGTTTTTTAGACTCTCCCTCAAGTTCATTTTTGAGTCCTATAAGTAGGCTAGACCAGTAAAGTATCATGGATACCAGCATTATCATACATAAGAAATTAGTTTAAATCTTAGGTAGGCTAAATGAGGAAATTGAAAATGAACTGATTCTAAAAAATCTCTGGTTTGTCACTATGATCCTAGGTAGGTATCAGCTTTTCTCATTCAATAAAGTTCATCTAATTTTCAGTCTCAGGAAGCTGAGATAAGCGATAAGGTTACATACGTTACTGGCTACAGGCCTACAGCTGAAAAATAAGATTCTAATGGGCCAAGGCAAATAAGTGTACTTGATAGGCTAATTGAATTAAGAATCAACACCAGCTGCATTTAATGATTTTAGGATTAGGTACACAAGTTGAAGTGTGCTCAAGAGTTACGACAGCATTAAATTCACTATCTAAGGAAAATGCAAATAGCTACATACAATTTGACTTTTCAGATTTGATTATAAATGCAAATCCTAATTTTGAAATTCTTTTTCAATAAAACAAACTACATACCAATGATACCATTTCCGATGCCCGATGGTCAACCGACAATTTAACGAAAGAATAGGTAATTCTTGTTTTTATTTAGTGCAAACTTGCAAGGAGCAGTAGAGCACCTACACCTAATTGAGAAAAATGTAATAAATAGTAGGCCTAATTGGCAATTGCCTCTTAACTTTAGTCCTAAGGTTTTGCCTATGACGCAATTTCAGTCCTAAAATTTCTCATTGCATCGCACAAAGAGCACACAAGATGGCGACTGCCCACCGCCACCCGTGACTCATAGGCTAGCTCAACTTCTCAAGCGAAGTCTCAATAAGTAGTGACTGTAGCGTATACCACTACAGTAATTAAATCAAAAACATTATGTTAATTTAAATAACTTGTATATACTTAAGGTTAAATAGCGTTAACGAACGCGAAAAAAAAGTACTAAACTCACCATCATTTCCTGGCGATCCGTCTCCTTTGAAATCAACTTCCCGAATGAGGCCAGGAAGGCCGAACTGCCGAAGAGAAGGGATTCAGCCTTCTCACGTAGTGATCTCAGCGCGAGCGGAAATTGACGCCCGTGCGAGGCTAGATGAGAATATAATACCTTCAGAAAGAAACGTCATTCAGTCTATGCATAATTATTTTCTCGTAATATATTCACTATTGATGAAATTAAAAGCAAGTGTGAACGGTTTAAAAGTTTCAGGTATGCAGTAAACACGTTTTGCAGATAAAATTGGGCAAACATTGCTGGAACAAAGACACAATTTTCTTGTACTGAAGTCTCTAAAAAAATATCTGCAAGATTTCCATGCCTCTTTGTTTTTTTATTCAATATGTCTATTATTTCTTAAACTTTTCAATTGTTAACTTTTTCAATTGTTAGTCAAATAAGCGGGCGTTGTAAAGTCTTAATAATTCCTGTAATTTTATAATCCAAACATATATATATATGTATAAATTTTGCGTCCTATATATTAAATGTATACATAATGATTGCACCTACGCATTCAAGGTATCAGCCTCAGGCTTCAGACACACCCACAAACAACACAAATTCTGAAAAATATAAATAAGGTGAACAAACTATTGATTGAGTGAGTTGGGAATCTGGTTCATATTTCCCTCTACATCACTCTTTAATTTCATACTATATCACAGGAGAGGTTGAGCCGTGATGCGAATGTTGATAATTCCACGGTTTACATACTCGTTCTTGGTTGCCTTCTTTCACTTCCGTCAACCAAACTTTGTTCATTATTTTTCAATCGTTCTTAGTTGCGCTTCCTTCCTCTGTCAAGCTAAACTTTCCATTCGCTGCAGAATCTAAGTGGCATCTCCTCTTATTTACACACGAAAAAATTCCCCTTATTTACTTGACATACAAACATTTTCAAGTCGTATTCAGCCTTAAATTTTCTACAGTGCAAGACAGATTTATCTTGTACGTTTGTATAATTGTTATTTGTTACTATATCCTGACTTTAATTGATCAACAATTTTAAATCTCTATCGACTTCAAACTTCACAGAAGCTATGTTTTATATCATAATATTAAGTCGAGGTACGATTACCTATGCACTACTCCGATCCAACCGGTCGGACAAAAGCGCGTGGGCGTTAGTGTGGGTTACAGCGTGGGCCAGCCCGGCCCTGAACCTGCCCTACACCTACTCTCCCTTTAGCCACGTTTTATTCCCTCAATTCGTAACCAATAATTATGAAATTTTTACAACACTTCTCTTTAACTTCACTTCTTGTTTGTTTGTCTGTCTGTCTGTCTGCTACAAATCTTATTTTCGAAATTTAACACATTTATACTTATCCTATTGATCTGAAATTTTGCACACTTGAATAAAGTTGAAGACAATGCAAGAATCAAATGACCAAACAAATGATTTTGATAATTAATTTTTTTATGTTAAAAAATTGAAAAAATAATCTTGTTAGCTACAAATCTTATAACTGATATTTGACACATTTTTACCTGTCCAATTAATCTGAAATTTTACACACTTGTGCGAAGTCGGAGGCAATGCATGAATCAACTGACAAAATAAATAACTTTGAAAAATTTTTTAAATATTAAAAAAATCGAGAAATTAATTTTTTATTATTAGAAAATAAAATAAGAAATTCATTGTACGGTACATCTTTAACATTGGAGACGCTGGATTCTTTAGAAGTGTTGTCTTTAAAAAGTAATTTTCAAATGTATATTATTATTATTACAAGACTTCTCTTTAACTTCACTTCTTGTTTGTCTGTCTGTCTGTCTGCTACAAATCTTATAATCGATATTTAACACACTTCTACCTGTCCAATCGAACTGAAATTTTGCACACTTGCGTAAAGTTGGAGACAATGCATGAATCAATTTACAGAATAAATAATTTTATAAATTAAATTTCTTTTTCTTATTATTAAAAAAAAATTAAAAATAATTTCGTCTGCCACAAATCTTATAATCCATATATGACACAATTTGACCTGTCGAATTGATCTGAAATTTGGCACAATTGCATAAAGTTAGAGACAATGCATGAATCAATTGACAGAATAAATAATTTTGAAATTTACAAAATTTTGATATCATAAAAGAATTTTGAAGCTCCACATTTAAGTTTCCTAACGTTTGATCGTGTTCACAAGCAGAAATTGCTTGCTTTCAGTTGAAGACTATAGTAATATGCCCAGTAATTTTTTATTTATTCTAGAGTATAATATATTTAAAGCTCCTATCGTTTGATCGCGCTTACTAGAAAATATCGCTTGTGTTCAGTTTAAGATTATAGTAATAAGCGCAGTAACTTTTTTTGCATTCTAAGGTGTAATATATTTATGTCTTCAAACGTTTGATCGTGTTCACAAGCAGAAATTGCTTGTGTACGGTTCATGACTATAGTAAAATGCCCGGTCATTTTTGATTTATTGTAGGGAATAATATATTCAAGTCTCCTATTGTTTGATCACGTTAACTAGAAGATATCACTTGTGTTCAGTTTAAGATTATATTAATAAGCTCAGTAAATTTGTTCAAATTCTAAGGTATAATATATTTAAGTCTCCTAACGTTTGATCGTGTTCACAAGCAGAAATTGTTTGTGTTCAGTTAAAGACTATAAAAATATGCCCAGTAATTTTTATTTATTCTAGGGTATAGTATATTTAAGTCTCCTATCGTTTGATCGCGTTAACTAGAAAAATTCGTTTGTGTTCAGTTTATAATTATAGTAATAAGCTCAGTAACTCTTTCATATTCTCAGTTATAATATATATAAGTCTCCTATCGTTTGATCGTGTTCACAAGCAGAAATTGCTTGTGTTCAGTTCAAGACTTTAGTAATATGCCCAGTAATTTTTTATTTATTCTAAGGTAAATTATTTATGGGTCTCCTATCGTTTGATCGCGTTAAGTAAAAGACATCGCTTGTGTTCAGTTTAAGATTATAGTAATAACCTCAGTAACTTTTTTATATTCTAAGGTATAATATATTTTAGTCTCCTCACGTTTTCTCGTGTTCACAAGCAGAAATTGCTTATGTTCAGTTCAAGACTATAGTAATATGCCCAGTAATTTTTCATTTATTCTAGGGTATAATATATTTAAGTCTCCTATCGTTTGATCGCGCTAACTGGAAAATATCGCTTGTGTTCAGTTTAAGATTATAGTAATAAGTTCAGTAACTTTTTATATTCTAAGGTATAATATATTTAAGTCTCCCATCGTTTGATCGTGTTCACAAGCAGAAATTGCTTGTCTCAGCAATATTTTTATATTCTATGGTATAATATATTTGAGTCTCCTAACGTTTGATCGTGTTCACAAGCAGAAATTGCTTGTGTTCAGTTGAAGACTGTAGTAAAATGCCCAGTAATTTTTTATTTATTCTGGGGTATAATATAATTAAGACTCCTATCGTTTGATCGCGTTAACTAGAAGAAATGGTTTGTGTTCAGTTTCAGATTATAGTAATTAGCTCAGTAACTTTCTTACAAGACTTCTCTTTAACTTCACTTCTTGTTTGTTTGTCTGTCTGTCTGCTACAAATCTTATGATCGATATTTAACACACTTCTACCTGTCCAATCGATCTGAAATTTGGAACACTTGCGTAAAGTTGGAGACAATGCATGATTCAATTGACAGAATAAATAATCTTGGAAATCTACTAAATTTTTATATCTTAAAAAATTTTGAAATATAATTTTTCTTTTCAATATTTGAAAATAAAATTAGAAATTCATTGTACACATGTAACATCCAAGACACTGGATTGTTCAGAAGTGTTGTCTATAAAAAGTAATTTTTAAACGCATATTATTATTCATTTTTAGCCTCATCTCCTTTGCAAATAAAACGGTAAAACGGCTACAAACGGGTGAATTCAGTCAGGTAGCCACGTTTTATTTCCTCATCGAGGGACCTCAAGGTTAAGTCAGCAAAGTTCTTTTTTTACTGAAAAAAGAACTTGGTAGACTTAACCTAACCTGCGAAGACCTCGACTTCAAAATCGTCGTTTATGAATTTTTAATGACCGGGCCCACGATCTGGTATTATTCTGGTATGGGCCCAGTCTGGTATTCTACCAGAAATGAATTGGTTTGGTATGCTCGTATGAACCCTTATGGTACTGCCTTCTTATGTAAAAATGTAAAAAAATGATCGCGACTGCGCAATAAGCATGTGACTCCATGTATTTAATTTCATAATTATTGGTTACGAATTGAGGGAATAAAACGTTGCTACGGGACTGAATTCGCCCGTTTTACCGTTTTATTTGCAAGGGAGATGAGTTTAAAAAAATAAAAGAAATCGTCGCGACTGCGCAATAAGCATGTGGAACCATATATTCAATTTCATTATTATTTATTACGGATTGAGGGAATAAAACGTGGCTAAAGGGAGCAGGAGTAGGGCAGGTTCAGGGCCGGGCTGGCCCTTGTCCCGATTCATACAAGTTCACAAGTCTTGTCCCGGTCTGTTGTATAATTGTTACTATATCCTGGCTTTAATTGCCAAACAATTTTAAATCTCCGTCAACTTCAAACTTCACAGAGATTCAGTATTTTAACAAACAACAGCTTACCAGTGAATTTTCTAAAACGTAGCACTTATCAACCAAATGAAGAATAAATCAACCAGAATGCGTTTTGGGCTTCTATTCATGACTGCCACAAAACTGACTACCTTTACTGGCCTCTTATGAATGTAGCTCATTTGAACGAAAGTTGTAGTGGCTGCAACAGCAACGTATCAATTTGTTATAAGTTGTTGCAGAATTTATTAGTTGTGGTTTTCAGTTTTGAGCTGAAAGACCATTGTAGCTGATCTAAGACTAATAAATAGCTGATCGTCTACGCAGGAGCTCGTAGTCGTTAGACTAGAGGAATGAAGTTGTACATGTATATGAAAAGCGTTCTGTAAATTTGGGCCAAAAAATTATTAATGACAACCCAATTGCATATTGTTTATTCATGATGTTGATTAAACAATTGCATATTTTTCAGTCATGATGTCGTTTTTTTCAACTCTTCTTCGAAGCATTCGAAATGTGAACTGGTGGCGCTTCACTTATGAAGGACAAATTCTCAGAACTCTATCCGCAAAACTTAGGTCCTTGCCTAATTTTATGGTTTCTGGGCTGACTGCAGAGTGAGAGTGCAATCCCGACTCCCGAGGCCTAATTTCGTAATTTATCCTTCAATTTGATAAATGAAGTTGAGGACTGAGGAGGAAATAACATATCTATCTTTTTGAGAGTCTAAAGGGCCGCAGGTTAGGGCCCGAAATTTAACATCTTCAAGTTGAACTTTTGGCAGGCTCACAGGCTGCAAGAACAGCCGAACAGGATCAATGTTCAAGCATGAAAAATGTCAATCTCTCATCTGAAATCTGAATTATCTGATAAACTATTGCTTCAAATTTTAAAATCATCCTGTAGATATTATCATATTCATAGCTCATTCTTATTCCACCCACAAACTGCACATTGTCAAGCTCAAGTTGCAAGTTGCAACTTTAATCTTGTTCTTGCTAAGTTATCAGACTCAAAATGAACTCGATACTGATAGAGAGTCTAAAATAACTCTGCTTTGCCACTATGCTGAAATGTGTTAATAGACATTAGCTCATAGTGGCAAAGCAGAGAGTTTTTTAGACTCTCCCTCAAGTTCATTTTTGAGTCCTATATGTAGACCAGTAAAGTATTCTGGATACCTGCATTATCACACGTAAGAAATTGGTTTAAATTGTGAGTAAATGAGGAAATTAAAAATGAACTGATTCCAAAAAATCTGTGGTTTGTCACTATGCATTAGCTAATACTACCTATATTACCTTAGGCATAGTGACAAAGCAGAGAGTTTTTTAGACTCTCCCTCAAGTTCATTTTTGAGTCCTATAAGTAGACCAGTAAAGTATCATGGATACCAGCATTATCATACTTAAGAAATTGGTTTAAATCTTGAGTTTTAGGAAAATTAAAAATGAACTGATTCCAAAAAATCTCTGGTTTGCCACTATGACTTAGGTACCTATTCAGAATTAAACATCAAATTATCATTTTCCATTTCCAGCATTATGATATTATCATACATATGATATTGATTTAAATCTTCATTTATCTCAAGCAGTCAGCCAAAGAGGCTATGACGATGAGCCATGACTCATGGCTCATGACTCGAGGAAGTTACAAATGAACTGATCCTAAAAAATCTCTGGTTTGCCTCAGCAGCCTGCACCCTGCAGCCTCACTTTGCCACTCTATTAGTCTCTGCAGTCTGCAAGATTGATAAGTAGGTAGACCAGTAAAATATCATGGATACCAGTGCAGTATTATCATATATACATGAGAAATTGGTTTGAATCTTGAGTAAATGAGCCTATGAGGAGATAAAAAATGAACTCATTCTGAAAAATCTCTTGTTTGCCGCCATGTTTAGGTATATAGCTAATAAAATGGATTGGAGCATCCACGGACCATGGTCCACCCTCTTACACTTCCCACTGGCCACTGTGTCTGCAATGCATAGTATGAGTAATCAATAATCATAGTCATGAATCATGATTCATGATACTGATGATAGTAGTGGCAATTTGGCAAATGAGAGATTTTTTAGAATCAGTTAATCACTACCGGACACCGGTAATTGGCGGTAAATTAATAACAGTGAACAACTGTGGATATCCCGCTCCCTGTTCAATGTTCATGTATGATCACTATGATGTATGGCAATGTCAAAGTCATTTTAACAATGAATAGATTTGATTCACACTGAGATTTAAATGATGAAAAGTTATTTAAAATTTAAACACCTCTTTATATGCAGGGCTGGAAAAGTCCTATTTTCTGAAATATTGCGGCTCTAATAGCAATAGAGTAAATGCACCATATTCCGACACTGGGTAAAATGGTAATTCTGACACCCCTCAACTTTTTCCTTTATAGTAAGCTTGGTCTTACCGTCTTAGTTCCATCATCCATGCATGCATAGATGGTTGAAATAGTGATGTCATACTATTGGGCAGGGGCGCTAGTGTTAGATTTCTGCAAAACACTAGGTCTAGGCTGTAGTGTAGGCTCTAGCGGGAAAATGTTAAGATCCGCAGAGCAAAAGTCCAAGTCAACTAGTGAGAACATTGAAACATGTATCAAAGTTGATAGTTGACCTTGCTTTACTAAATAGTGATAAACTGTTTGTGTAGAAAGAATATTATGGTTTGAGACTTTTAAATAAGTCACAGACTTATTTGTCACTGACTTATAAATATGTCACAGACTTATAAATATGACTTATTTAAATAAGTCTGTGACTTATTTACTGTGTATATAGAAATCCTTTAAGTATACTTGTATTTGCTGATTTTAACTGGTAAATAAATTAATAGATTATTGATTCAAGAGACGGTTTTAGACACATAAAAACTAAGTCCGACACGGTGTCGGAATTATGACACACAGCCGTGACACAGGGTGTCAGAATTTCAACACAGGGTGTAGGAATTACAAATTACATTTTTGAAGCGCTGTTGGAATTAGTCACACAATATGCCACATTTAGTCACACACAGTGTCGGAATTCAGCAATTTTGTAGATTTGAATTCTAAAGGCCTTTAAATAAATATGGCATCAGTTTGTGACGTTTCATCATTGCTGGCGCGTAGTGTGCGTTTTGAGAGTGATGTAAACCAATCAGAACTTCAGTTGTGCATACGGTGATCTATTTACGTATAGCCATTTATTTCTTGATACGTCCTTAAGGTGTCAGAATATGGTGTGTTTACCCTATCATATAATTTCAGTCGGTGTGAAATCTCACGGCTCAAATGTCATAAATTTTTGTTTGATTGAAAAAATTGTGGTTCGCACTTCGCAAACATGTCATTTCATAAAATTTTCCACTTCCGCAATCTGCATTACTTTACCGTTCCTGCCAAAATATCCTGCAGAACATAATTATTGCAATGTAAACAAGTCAACCTAAAGTCTAAACCTTTTGTTGAATATCATGCATAGTTGCAGTCATGCAAGACTGCATTAACACATGTTCAGCTTACAGTAAAGACAAATGTTTTGTTGCCGTTTGACTGTTTAAGGGTAAAATTAGAGATTTGGGGTAACATGTGCATGGACTATGCAAATAAATTCGCACCTCGTAAATGGCTTTATATGGCCTTGATATGGAATTCATGGCTCAAAAAAATGGAATCACAGCTCGAAGAAATGGAATCATGGCTGGCAAATCAATAAAACCACGGCTCAAAAAATTCAGTGGCTGTTCGCCAAGTAGATATATTCCAGGATGCTTGTTTATATATGTGTCCAGATATAAATTTTAATGTATGGACCCCTACTATGCTGGCAAGGATGCATTCACTATGCTTGCAAAGTTGCAAGGAGTTGAAGACGAAGAAAGAAATAGAGTATAGAAGCATTTTCTGTGATAGTGAGGCCATTGAGCATTTGAGCTCTTATCTTACATTGCACATTTGGATACCTGAATATAATATATAGCTGCCATTGCAAAGGACTGCGCAAATTATGAATTATAAATAGGGACATGCATTCAACAGTTTTTATGTAGAATGTATACAAAGGATGTATTTTGCTAAATATGCAAGTCAATGCCTAAGTATTAAAAATTGATTAAACTGCATTCCTTTCTCAGGTTTATCCATTTTCCACTCTTGTTTTTTACTAGTGTATAATCTAAAAATTGTAATGGGTAATCACCATTCATCACATGGTGGTGAACGTAGGCCCAGAGAATATGGGCAAACTCATGCTACTCCTCGTTTAGATGAGCCACCCATTAGCATAGACTCAAAGCCAGCAAGGGAAGGTCGCCTCAAATCTCAGGCTTCAGAAGATGAGGGGGAGCCTGTCTTCAAAGATCTCAAGGTGAAATTGGACATTGATAATCGGGCAGTCACTTTATTCATGATAAAATATATTGCTGACTTGTTTGATTTCAACTTTAAAGAGAATTTTTAATGTGACAAGAATGTTCACATAGAGATTGGGAAGTATTAGTGCTTATAAATTATTTATTTATTCAATAATCTTGCAATAAAAAGTTAAACAAAGCTCAGAATTATTTATTACCTTGATGTTGCCTTTTCAGTCACCTGATCCAAAAGACCAGCCTCCTCGTTTCCGTGCTATGGGACACAATAAAAAAATGCTGCCCTGTGTCATCAAGTGGCCAGGTGGAGGACAGAATGTGTCTCTCTCAGGAGCATTTAACAATTGGCAGAAACTTCCCATGGTTAAAAGGTTAGGTGACTAATAAATTTGCATCATCTATTCCATCATATCCCATCACATTTAGGTAAAATATATGTTTAATTATAGTGAAGTCTAAGAGACATTTGATTAAGTGATTGCTTAAAATGATCTAAATGTTTTATTGCCTACAGTTTGTTTGACACATTATATTGTTTGCCTAATGTTTTGCTGCATAATTTTCTTTATCAAATAAAAATTATTGTTGTTTTTCTTTCAGTGAGAAGGACTTTGTGGCTATTGTTGATCTACCAGAAGGGAAATTTGAGTACAAGTTTGAAGTTGATGGTGAATGGAAGACCAACCCTAATGAAGAGAAGGTTGTAAGCTCTGATGGCATTGAGAACAACGTCATCAGTATTAATAATGCTGACTTTGAAGAACTTGAAAACTCTTTATTGAAGGACCCTAACGACTTGAATCAACCTGATCCTTTTGAATTCAATACCAATCAGCAAGCAAAACAAGAAGGTGAGCTGGTAAATTCTGCCACTTTAATGCATTCTTGTAACTTTGATTATTACATTCACCATAAAAGTGAAAAGTTTATTTATCTCTAACAACCTTTTTTTTAAATATATACATTATCATCCTATATCTCTTCAGGTATTTGTTCTGGTAATTTCTATGTGATATATAACAGAAACTCATTTTAAGTGTAGTGAAAATTGTTCATTTCTAGATGTTCTGTGATATTAATTTAACGGCAATTGGTAACCCTGTAAACATATGGTCCAAAGTGTCACACTATTCATGGCTGCACTTCTATCATCTTTTCATTGATGTAAAATTTAACTGTTGCCATGCATTTCTTATAGATATTCGCAAAATAATTTGTTTTGATTCTTTTGCAAAAACATATTTCAAAAATATTTTTGCAATGTATTGCAGATGACGATAACGACGGTTACGCACAGACTGTACCCGAATACAAGCCTACCGACAAAGTGAAGGATCCACCAGTGCTGCCTCCTCACCTCCTGCAGGTCATCCTCAATAAGGACACGCCCGTCTCGGTACGTTCAACGTACAACTCCTAATTTGCATCAAGAATAAGCTAGTAAATGAAATTTTTATGCACTTAAAGCTCCTAAAAGCGTTTTTATAAGTTTTGATATATGCAAACGCTTAGTAACCAGTAGATATTATCATCCCATTCTTTTAATAAACGTGAATATGAAAAAAAGTATGAACATCTCCTAATTTGCAGCCAAAATTAGAAAGTAAATAGGTAGCACTTTCACTACCAACTAACCAGCTGCATGCAATCACAATTAACCAGCTGATTTGAATTTTACAAGTTTGAATACATGCAAATGCTAAGCAAACTACAATAATTAAGAGCCAATTTTACTTAATAACTATGGTAAGAATATGAATATTTGCTGATCTGTCACATAGATAATAATTTCTCCTTAGAACAAATTTGCTGGTATTGACTTAGTCTTAGTATTAATAATATGCGTTTAAAAATCATTTTTAAAGACAACACTTCTAAAGAATCCAGTGTTTCCAATGTTACAGATGTACAATGAAAATTTTCGGATATTAAAAAAATTAATTTATCAATTTTTTAATATATAAAATGTTTCAAAATTATTTATTCTGTCAATTGATTCATGCATTGCCTCCAATTTCACACAAGTGTGCAAAATTTCATATCAATTGGACTGGTAAAAGTGTGTCAAATATCAATTATAAAATTTGTTTGACAAAATTATTTATTCAGTTTTTTTACTATTGAAAATTTTTTTTTCATTCTTAAAATTATTCATTTTACCATTTGATTCATGCATTGTCTCCAACTTTAGGCAAGTGTGCAAAATTTCAGATCGATATGATAAGTAGAATGTAGGTACTAAATTTCGATTGCAAGATTTGTAGCAGACAGACAAACAGACAAGAAGTGAAGTTAAAGAGAAGTGTTGTAATAAAACGGATACAATTCTCTACTTATTTATTTTAATTTATTGTACTTCTGACTATTTAAGGTAAGTATCCAATTCTATTTTTTTCACAGTCAATTATGCATTTGTCAATTATGCATGAATTCTTGCATTTGTTTCAGTGTGAACCGACTTTGTTGCCTGAACCCAACCACGTGATCGTGAACCATATGTACGCTCTGAGCATTCGCGATGGCATGATGGTGCTCTCCACCACTCACCGCTACAAGAAGAAGAGCGTCACCACCCTCATCTACAGGCCGTTATAGGCTACAAAATGCTAGTACCAGCATTTAAAATTTCCTATGAAGTTATAATGCCATTTGTCTGCTAAAGAGCTGCGCTACCGTTACGGCTTGTCACGATGGTGTAGCGAGGCCACGTGTTCAAAATTCAAAGAGAAATCGAGAGGGCTTCTGGTTTTGTCTGCCTGAATTGCATCTCTTTAATGAATAAATTTGTAAGCATAAGTGTCATCTAGATACTTTTTCAGAAAAAGATTATTATGTCCATCGCATGTGCAATGCAAAGAAGTTTTTAGAAGTTCATAAGGGAAGCCAAACCGAAAAATGGAACCCATTTTGTTAACTTCAAAAGATGCTTTGTTCCTTCGATTTCATCTAATTTTTTATTTATTAAGTTTGTGGGTTTCCTAGTTTGTCTTTTAGATTCTCATTGTAGCTTAGTTTGGTTATGAAATTTTAAAAATTTACTTTTGGCTCTTCTTACTTGTCAGCAGTCACGAAAGTGGCTTTTGAAATTATCAGTAAGATAAAGAGTTGTATAGAGATTATCGAATTATTATTCTGAGTAATTATATTGGAATTTCTTCCAGTATTTATTATAATGAGTGAATTAAAGAGCTGGAAAGTTTGTACGCGATGCAGGATTATGTGATCTATATTGCTACGAGTTGAAACGAAAGCAAATATTACGAGCCAGAGAACAGCATTTTCCGACTCTCTTGAGCCTCATCACACGGATGAGTTCCAGGCTGAAGCACAATTATCACTTGATTACCACTTTGATATGTGGTCTTGTTTTATCCTTATTTGGGTTGCTTGTTGTAAGCGTTAATAATCAAATAGTATCACCTCTTATTATGTACATAATTAGACATTGAATTATATTTTATCTTACTTTGCATGAACTGTTTCCTCCTTGTGAATATGTGTTCGCTCGTGCCATCCCATAGATTAGTTTTGTTTGTTTTAACCTTGTAAAGTGTAAATGTAATTTTTTGTCAGAAATTCGAAGAAGCGCATGTATAGGTGATTATATCAATTGAACATTGCAATGGTGCATACGCTGTTACAGTAACACAAAGAAAAATATTATATGAAAAGTAATCCGAAGTTGAGTTGGTCCCAGATCTTACGGTGTTCCGCACGTAAAGCTTTTGATGCTGCTACGACGAGGTTTTGTGTGGTGGCATGTACTTCAAAATTTCAATCAACACCATATGTATTTTAATTCCGGTATCCATAATACTTACTGTAATACTTATCGGACCCAACGAAAAGCCAATCATTTGCCACTAAGTGCATAAGGTAACGTCGACATGTTGCCTCCTGGACATGAGTGCGGTCGGTGTGGGAGTTTGTAATCCAAGATCTTGAGCCCAGTGATGTACTTATGTCAACCTATGCCGTGCCTTTATTCTCTCGTGGTGTTCGAAGGATCTCTTATCTTCGATCCTGACGTCCTGTGTGTACCTCGGATAAGTTTTAATGTTTCAAAAATATTAGTAGCCGCACTTGGTGGTTTGGCTGCAACAAATGAAGTATGGATTCATATCTCCATACAGTTCTTAACTTGGTACAGTCTAAACCAAGTGCAGAAACCGTTTTTCACAGCTAAAGTGTTTTTTCTCTGTCACAGTTTTGATCGTGCTGACAAATTCGGAATTAATGCGCGTATTTTTGGGGATTTTGTTTAGTAAAATGAATTGTGCTGCAATCAATGTTAAAAATAGCTTCTCGCAACTTTTATGACTATTTTTGATTTTATTCAAAGATGTATTTCACTGTCGCATAACGAACCACGCCACCGACACGTCCAATTAAAACATAGCAGAAAGATCGCAGTCTGACCGTGAATTTCTTCAAAAAGTTTACTAGACCTGCACGCATCGGCGGTATTGTACACTATTCTCTTCTTAGGTTTGTGTTAAAATCCAAAACAATACGCATTTCTTGGGATGTGCGAAAGAAATTGGCTATTCTGATTGTTCTGATAGGAAACTAAATGATGACTTACAAATGACCCAACTCTCACTACGTTTCTTGCGCTCTGTATCAAGTGGTTGTTGGTTCAAAGGGCGACACATGTCTGTCAACTTTGCCTGGAATGTCAGAAGTTGTTGGCTAACTGATATGAATGGATCTTGTACGACGGGAGCTTAAATTACTGAATCTTTAGGTACATTGTTTCTACCTTAATTAGATTTTCATGTATCCATTGAAAACGAACTAAATACCCATTAATTGTGAAGGGAGCTTGACTTCGGCTAATATTATATAAAATTGCACCATGAAATATGCTTATGTGTCGGCGAGTAATAGCGACAAATCGACTTTACCTTTTGGTGCAATCAAATGTGAAGGATAGAAAAGTGCGTGCAATCGTGCGCTAAATTGAAGAGGTAGAACTAAAACGTACGACTAAGATATCTGATATTTTGGAATTACGAGTAACTGTTATGAGTATAATATCCATTTACTGGAGATGAGCACATCGCAAAGAAGTGAGCGTTTTATAGATTCATTTAAATTGTCTTAAAGAATTACCAATCGCAATTTGTACAAAATATCTTTGTAGGAATCGTCCACTTATTGTGATGAATATTGTTTGATAGTCCAGAATATATTCGACCTTCAATTTGTGTTTCATTGCTGATTTGGGTTCATAAAATAGTAAAAATGTGTATGAAGTGTAGCGTCATTTAATGACTTTTTAAATACTTTCCCTGTGGGCCTTTCCCGCAAAATAGTTAAGTGATAAGTTTTTAAAAAATCTGTGTAAATAAGAATTTTATTAGTTGATGATGAAACTCTTGAAATTTTATTGACAGAGACTTTATAACTCCTAGAAGTGGTTTGTTACATCGAATTAAAAATGTGTGCTAGGATATTTTGATCATAGATGAAGTTTCTACGGAGAGCCGACGAACTGAGAAGAAAGCTCGGGCAAATAAGCCTTGGTTCCAGTATCTTTTTTATTAATTATTTCAAAAATCATGCGAAATGAGATCCTAGTGATGAACTAAGAATCGATGACTGTGAAGAAGTTAGTTATATCTTATATGAACAGTACGAGAATGAAAGATAGTTTTTTTCAGTACTAACTCATAAGATCTTCAAAATAATTGTCAGGAATTACACAGAAGTTTTGAAATACGACTGGACACTGCACAAGTAAGGCAAGAAGAACCGTGTTTTATTGAACAACGATTTAGTATAACAATGCATTGGCAGCCGACCACACAATATTGACAATGAACCCTACCGGAAAGCTGGGACCTCCATGGTAATATGTAGCGACGGCGATCTTCCATACATTCAATAAAAGAAGAATATAGAATAAAATCAACCGAAAACGTAATCTCTGAAATACGAGTAATCTTGAAATAATAAAGCATGAATTACCACGGACATATTTTGGCATGAAAATAGATGGTAAAAGCAAAATTGAAATTCTTACTTAACTATTAAGAGTAATGAAACGAGCACCAACGCAAGAACTACGATAAATGCATGACCAACTAAACTAAAACTCAGAGAAGTCAGGATATGCAGCAGGTTTTCAGTCAGTATACGATATCCATCACAAGCAGGTGTTCTTAAGCACCCAAGCGAATAAAGTTGTAACATTGTTGACACGCGACGGCAACGAAGGGAGGAAAGTAAGGCTCAAGATTCTAAAAGTAATGAAGCATGATTTTATCGATGTACAAATGATGCTAATTAAGTACAACTATTTACAGAACTTCAGTCTCGCTGTCATCACTGCCAAGGGAATGCTTTGGTAAGTACAAACTGAGGCCTTTGCCCTGCATGCTGCGCAACAGCAGAACGCTTTGCAAAGGCTCGTATTCTTTCCTAAAGTCACCCATGGACGGCGAGAAGCTCGCAACGGAGTCAGAATCCTTGACAGACATGGACGAGTTCTCCGCAATCGAGTCGGTCTCCGTGGGAGGCAAAACACTGGCTTCATCAGACTTAGAAGATATTTTTTCGGCTGCCTCTCGTGACTCGGGAAGGATAGAGCACGCAGTTTCAGGATGTGGTTGACGTGTCGATTGGTTGTCTGGAACGATGCTTTCCCTCAACGTGAGGGAAGTGAGCGATAAATCTTCGTCTGAATTTTCAGGTAAGGCGTTGAGGATGTGACGAGGAGCGTTCACCGAGTGACCGGAGAGCCGGGGTGCGTAAAGTGGCGTCTCGTACGCTGTTGCGCACGCTTGCTGCTCGCACGCCAACGAAACGTCGTCTAGACGACGAGGCAAACACCCACGGAATAAACCTGCATACACAAAATAAATTAATATATATTATCATGTATGTATCTCATAAAAAGGCCGAGAAGTCTAGGGAAAGTAAAATTCAGAAAGTATATATAGGAGCCTAAATTATGGGCACGTAACATTAACTTACACCTGAACACAGCATACCGATTTTTCAATCATACATGTTCTGCATGCACCTCCTCCCCGCCAAAAAAAAAAAGAGTTTGATTAAACTTAGACTAAATTTTCTCAGTATGAGTGGCTTAAAACGGTACTTTATTGTTCAAGTTGGAATGAAATGCAAAATAGTAACTAGAATTGCAAAAAACAGTAATATATTAGAGCTGCTAACTTCAGAACTTGTTAAATCGTTGGGTTAATGAGACGAGAGCTGCTAGCGCGTGACAAGAGCAAACAGACAGGCAGGTGACACAAGCTTGAAGCATATTGTGCTAGCAATAACTCGGGGCATCTGAGAGACACAAGTGAATGATACACGACGTGAGAAAACATGTAGATTTAATTTCAAGGGAGAGCAAAAAATTGCAAGCGAGTGTATGAAAATTTTGGCCTAGCTTAGAATTAGCATCATTCCCCCTACAAAAAAAAAATTAAAGGAAATATTGCATTGCAAGCAGAAGATTCGTCAGCAAGAGATGATTAATCGCTGCTTACAACTGTGCTTTCATAGGCAAAGAAGATCAGCTATTCAATAGCTTACAGCTTACTTTGTTAACGAGTAACTCAGCATTGATTTGTTATAGGAAAACTTGGCGCGACAAGTTAAAACTAACACAAACATATTAGTTAAGGGTAGCTGCTACATGATGCCGATTCAAATAATATGATTAGTTGATTACAAACTTAAACAGTAATTCAAACCTAAAATTACAAGGGCACAGAGAAAATAAGTGGGAACTCATGGAACCTGCATGCATCTTTTACGTTCGTACTTTAGTTCTCAACAAAAAGGAAAATGTCAATTTAATTGTTAACATAAAAGTTGACTTCCACAGCAAAATCATGAAGTTTCCCCCACGAGATCCCCGAACGCGATTAGAGTAAAGAACCGAAGATCGCCATCGCAGAAGCAACAAAAAGTCACAATCTCACAATTTTGTTTTCACGATAAAAAACCTGAACATTTAAAGAATATATGTCAATATTAAGTTAAAAACGTTAATGAACCTGGAAATTGTTATCACGACTGTAGTTAAAAATACAAAATTAAAGATGCAACGACGTTATTAGTTAAGAAGCACACCTTAACAGAGATGAAATTCAGGATTTTTACCATGTTCTAAAGATCGTTGGCTGCATTACAGCAGGAACCAAATATTTCCTGCAATGAAAAATGAAACCGAAGATAACCGGAACGTCGGAACGTCAGCGTACAACGTCAGGCAGCTCTTAAACTCTATGTCTATTAATGAATCAACTGTCGTTTGTAGTATTCGTATCTGAGGGTCTGTGAACGAGATCTACCCTCAGTATTTAAGAAGTTACTACCTTGCCTTTAGATACATTAGCCGTCGTCGATAGTGTTTGTACCAGTGGCCTGGTAGAAAGATATACCGACTGTAGACGAAAGGTTACCAACTGTTACCATCTTGTCTCGGATACATTAACAACCGTCTATGGCATTCCTTTCTAAATGCCTGGTAACGAGAGTTTCCATGCAAGGAGTAATGACAAAAGGTCAAGGAATCTTCGTGATTATTATGATAAACTGAAGTGGAATTTGTGCTTCACAGAAAAGTACAAGAGTGGCTCAAATAAAGCTTTGAAAAATATGCATTCCATCAGATTTGTGCTTCAGTGAGGAGATAATAACAACGAATAGCTCTCTAAACTTTGGTGCAGACAAATAGTGAAAGAATACTTACGCGACTAGATATTAAATCAACTCTGCGGACATAGAGAAAAATAAGGAGCTCAAAATAAACGTACATTGTCAAATTATGAATTGCATTATCCAACCGACACAGACTTAGCATCGCTGCGCGTGTGAGAGCATTTTCACGGCGCAATACAACTATGATTTTATACGTTGACTAAGAAAAAACTTAACTAGACAAACTAAATACTTTAACTAGATTTGCTATTACGTATAGTGCAAGCGTCAATACAATTTCGATCACACGATCGAAATTTACGGAAACACAGAAGTACATATTCAAACATGAAGACTACACAGCAAATATCGCATTGAATTGATCGCAAATGCAGTCATCTAGTACGTCCATCTACACAGGTAAATTTGTTCTAAGATAAGAACTCACTTAACTACAATCTGAGAGCTGACGTCAGCCAAGTCAAAGACACTAAAAACAATAATATAATAATAATAACATATGACAAGAATCAAAATAAGGAGAAAGACTAACCTCTGTCGTCAGCCAAATCAATGACACTAAAAACAATAATGTAATAATAATAACATATTAAAATAATCAAAATAAGAAGAAAGACTAACCTCTGTCATCAGCCAAATCAAAGACACTAAAAACAATAATGTAATAATAATAACATATTAAAATAATCAAAATAAGAAGAAAGACTGACCGCTGTCGTCAGCCACGTCAAAGACACTAAAAACAACCGTAATTTAATAAAAACAAATGCAAATAATCAGAATAAGAAGAAAGACTGACCGCTGTCGTCAGCCATGACCGAGGTGGTGGAGAGGCGGGAGTCGAGCAGGTTCTCCGAGGAGCCCACCGAGAGCTGCATGTGTGGCTGCTCGTACAGCGCCGCGTTGAACTCGTCGTCGATGAACTCTTCTTCTGGCTGTCAACAGCCAATGTACAGGCAGTAAATAATTTGCTCAACTTCAACTCTTCATGTCAATGAAAATGTGGTGCAAGTTAAGAGAGGATCAGAGGAAATAATTTACGGATATGAGAAGAAAATCAATAGAAAATTGCATTCCGCAAGATTTAATCGTGGTCGTTGCTTTGAAAAAATAATACCTAACGTATTATTGGACTAGAATAGGAATTTGAGGAAACTAAACTTTAAATTATGAATTTCCCATGCAAAACTCGTGTGTGTATTTCAATCACACATTGTGCAAGCACGTAAAACGTTGGCAATTTAATTTGCGTCAGGTTCCAATTTGCGACACGTACTAATTTTAGTTAGGTTACAATTTGCGCTAAGTTACAGTACTTGTAACTTTTATCATCTCCAGTCTAACGGTATGCATTGTAATGAGAACAGAGCTCAATTGTAAACGCCGTAAGCATAAGTAATAGACACGAACCAACCAACCTAATCCATCAACGCTACAGTTTCTAGATTCACAAGAAAATTGTAATAGTTTACCATCCTTCGTAGGAACGAAGCCATATTGAAATATGTATGGAAATTATTATAGTAAACTAAGATACAAAAAGTCGAATAAAACCAGTGTAAGAACTGCCTCGCTACCTCGATGTGAGCGCTGCGCTGCCCCCTGCGATGGCGGTGCCGTGAGCCGTCGTGGCGCGGGTTGATCCTGACGGACTCCGTCAGGGCCACGGCACCGACGCCGTAGTAGCTGCTCGGCCGAGTCTCGCTCGTCTGTGGCGAGCGATACATGGTTAGCACTACCCAGCCGGGGCAGACATGATGCAAGACGCGATAAGCGAAACGCAGGGAAACAAAATAGTAATAATTCGACGAAAATGTGATACGAGATATCAGTAGGCGAAGACATGGCGCAAATAACCGAGTCCCATTTAACGAACCCCAGTATTAATTTGACGGAAACCTGATTGTAAATATCCCACAACAAAGAGTAAACCAAGACATACATGTTTTTTTAGCAAAAACATCGTGAAAATTACGCCATTGACTATTGCAACTTGATAATTACCTTAGCCGTTGAAGTTTTGCGTTGCGGTGAGGTGGGGAGAGACGAGCCACTCCTGGCCTTGAGGGCGGCGGAGGCGAGCAAGCTGTGCCCGGGCCCCCCCACGAACTGGTGTACGGGGGACGGTGGCCCCCCACTCGACAGCGAGCAGGAGGACGAGTGACGAGTGAGCTGGTGACTCGCAGGCTTGATGGCCGTCACTTCGTCCCAGTGACGAGGGCTGACGTGCCATCATGGTTATGATACGTTATATAAATAAGTTAAATAGGTTACAGCACTGCACATGCGATTCTTCTTTTAGATTACTTTCTAGTTTGTGAAACGGTCACTTCCGTCAGACATGGAAATTGGCGATCAAAAATCAAGTGAAAATTCAAATATTTCTATATGTTCAACAATCGAAAGAGTGTTTGCCGAAGCAATAAAAATAAAAAGCTGAAAAGTCCATAGTTTTCTCCCACTCATAAAAAGTGCGCGAAATATTTGTAAAATCTTGTCAATTCACCTATAAACATAAGAAATTGCTTCTGTATTTTTCAGAAGCAATTGAAAAAATTGCTTCAGTATTTTTCAGAAGCAATTGAAAAAATTGCTTCTGAAATTTTTGTTGGCGTCATGAATCTTAGCACCCAGCTGTCACTCATCAAAATGCCATGAAAAGATTATTTAAAAGAATAGTCGCGATAGTTTTATTCAGCAAGTTAAAAGAAAAAATTGAACACCTACGCCAGCTACAGTAGCAATAGTCGCCGATGATCCAAAACATATGAACAAGTGAATATGTATACAATAACATACACGCGTTCTTGCGGACGTATTTCACATGCAAAATTGAATAGAGCGCCTACCAATAATGCAGGAGAATTTCTAAACTCCTGCAAATTTAGGTAAAAATTTCAAATTAATTAAATTACCCTCGGAATACCTGTATATAAATGTTGAGAAGGCTGAACTTAAATTACCCTAGGAATATATAAATGTTGTGAAGGCAAAACTGACCTCTTCGCCTGCTGTTGGTTCTTAGTAAGGGACGTTGAGCGACGGTAGTGCTGAGTGTCTCTGCGGTTGTCTCCTTTGACGGCTTCTTCGAGCTCGTCACGACTAGACGACGAGGAAGAGTCCGTCGTGCTGAGTTTCTTGAAGGTGAGCGTCACTTGACTGATGGTGCGCTGTGGCCGACGCACCTCCCCACCAGGAGAGGCAGCGCCCTCAGCCGAGCATAGCGATATGTGCGAGATTGTCCGTGTCACCATAGAACCGCCCCCGATGTTCAATAAATTACTTAAACTAAGGCCTTTACGAACAACATCGGTTCTGATGGATCTTTTTACGTCCTGAGCCTCGAACTTATTGTTACTTTTATTGTATATTACTCTTTCCTTGACCACCTCTTTCTCGACGAAGGTTTTAGGAGACGATGTTTTACTGCCATCGACAGAATGCCAGTGATGATTCACTCGAGGAGGCTTATCGTCCACAGGACTAGGAGCTTTGCTGCTGCTTTCACTTTCAGAGAAGAAGGCCCGTTTAGCCCGATTAGATATGTAAGCAAACTCTTGCACGTTGGCGCCATCAGCATCGAAGTTTTCCTTGTCGCTGCCTGTCGAGACGGGCGACGCAGCAGATCTTTCCGCAGGCTGGGAAAAAGGCCGAAGTAAGGACCCCAGCTCCCGACTTAGGATGTCGGGTGTGCCGGGCGGCATGTGGGGCGCGGGACGGAACTTGCTGGGCAGCAGGTCGGGGGGCAAATCTCCTGCACGACCAGCCATGGATCTTGCAGGAGTCGAGGTCATCAACACTGAGGATGATCTGCAAAAACGAAAACTAAGAGTTTAAAGGCCTGAAACGAAAAATTTTTTTCCCGCCGAAGAGCGGGAAAAACCGGCGTAGCTGTGGAACAGGAACCACTATCAAAATGCTATTAAAATAATACCATGAACATTTTTACTTCATGAAACGAAATAATACATCTATAATACAATTCTAATAATGAAGCCTAATTTCAACAATATAACATAACTGATAGAAACAAAAATCGTCCTCACTTGATGGCATTTCTAGGACAGGAAGTGACGTGAGCAATATTTTGGATCTCGACGCATCTTTCGATGGGCTTCTCGTGGACCTGCACCGCTGATAGCTGATGGTTCAGGTGACCTCTGCCACCGCTGCTCTTGTTGATCTCAACGCTGACTTTAGAAGGCAACGTGGTGATTCCTTCAGCAAGATCCTGCGGTATTTGTTGCCCTTGTAGATGCACTGATGAACAAGATGATGACGACGACAGCTGGTCTATGGTAACGAACTGAAGGTATTGTGATGGGTGAATTTCAGATGAAGATCTGGCCGAGGTTGACGGGTAACTGGACGATGATGGACGGAGGTTATCGTTGGACGCTATCGAGGATCTGTTCCTCAAGAAATGGGGATTGTTGGGATTATGAGCTGCATTTTGTGGCGCGTTACGTCCAATGATGGGCGTGTTGGGCAGCGATGGAGGAGCCCAGGCAGTCACGGCGGGCACCCTCTCATCTTCCTCAACCTGCACCTGCAATTTTGTTCACTTTCAATTAGTATAGGAAAGATAAAAAATGCAGACAGAACAAAAGATAAAAAGATAAAGAAAGATAAAAAATGCAGACAGACAGAAAAAATCCAGAAGATAAAAAATGCAGTTTGAAAAGAGGAAATTTTTCTCATTTCTAGCGTGAACTAACGACGTTAAAACATGCATGAATAACTGAATATCAAGATAAACAAGACTAGTTGGAAATAAAGTGATATCTTAATGTGTTCTAATCATTTGCATGCAGAATAATTATAGAATCTAAAATACCAACAGTTGCTGTAATTCGACCATAGCAGCAACACAACAGACCCTGAGCGAGCGCAACATGGTGTGTATCTCATGGAAGTCCAAGTCTCGCTCATGCGCGTTCCACTTGAGGCGATATCTTAATGTGTTCTAATCATTTGCATGCAGAATAATTATAGAATCTAAAATACCAACAGTTGCTGTAATTCGACCATAGCAGCAACACAACAGACCCTGAGCGAGCGCAACATGGTGTGTATCTCATGGAAGTCCAAGTCTCGCTCGTGCGCGTTCCACTTGAGGCCGTACTGCGTGAGGTACATCACCAGCGACGGCGGCGCCCCCGTCAGGTAAGGCAGGCTCTCGCCCTCACTCACGCGTCGTTTGATTTCTGAGTCCGGCACACCGCACCACGGGGGCATGCCTGAGAAAGTTTAGAGTCAAAAGTGAAATTTAATGGTTTTGTTCTTTGAGGATAAATTGAGATTTCGTCATTCCGCACCAACGAGGCTTGTGAAAGTTGTTCGTTGAAACTAATTCAGTGCGTAGCAAAGCTGTAGTTCCTTATGGCTAAATTACTATTTCGTCATCTTGCAACACCGAGGCATGCTTGTGAAAGTTGTAGAAATTGAAAAATCCAAACGGACATGGACTGTTAAATTTGCAACAATTAATCAATCCGTAATATGCTATAGCTGGAGATTAATACTATATCAGAAGTTAGGTCCCAGATTTAAAATTTAAAATCTTTCAGTATCAATAACCAATAGTGTAGCTTAAAGCTCGTCAGTAAGCAAACTTCCGATAATGTAATAGTTAATACGTTACAACTCTCATCTATATTAGTATGCTGATCGCTGGAACACCCAAAGGGTTAATAATGTCGCAGACTATTGGCACGCACCAGACCAGATCTCCCAAATGATGGTCGCGAGTCCGTAGACTTCAGACTTGATGGACACCATCGCCTCGCTGATGACCTCAGGCGCCTGCCACGGCACCAGCCACGTCGCGCGGCCCAGCTCGTCCGCCTTCATGCTGCATCCACCCTGCCGTGACAATACAGCTTTACAATACACAAAATACTCCCTAAAATATCTACATGCCGCGACAACACAGCTTTGAAATACACAAAATAGTGCCTAAAATATCTACATGCCGCGACAACACAGCTTCAAAATACAGAAAATAGTGCCTAAAATATCTGCATGCCGCCACTATACAGCTTTATAATACAGAAAATACTGCCTAAAATATCTACATTAATAAGAAATAAATGTACACTAGTAATAAATATAATAAATTCCTGCCATATACTACAGCGCTAAGATTGAAAACTCAAGAAAACGATCTATGCTTGAGAAAATATTGTATTTAGTGTCGAATTACTTTAGCTTGCTGTTGGATGGCGTGCTGGAAGCTGCCTAATTTAGCGTGGCTGGTGGAGACGAGGTGGAGGGCGTGGGATGACAGGCCGGAGTGCAGCCACCCGTGCGCGTGCAGGAACAGCAAGCCTTCCACCACCCCCACCAGGATGTCCACAGCTCCTCCCATGCTGAGGTCCCGGTGCTGTACAGGGATAACTTTATTTTGAAAACTAAACTTTTTACAGCTAAACTTTTTATGAACTAACCTTGTGTCACAGGACGTCACCGCAATTTTTCGATGCTGTCAGACGGCCACTAGTAATACGACCAAACACCGGTAACTATCTAACTATCTTGTTAAAAATAATGATCTGAATAAGTTTCAATCGCTGGTATTTTATTTCACTTTGATTCCGTTAATCAACTGGCGCTGAACGGAATTTCTTGTGATTAATCTAGGCATTGATATCAGGCAAAAATTTTATTGAAATCTAACATTGTGGAAATAGAATTCAGACCCTTATTTTACTGAAACTTCTATTTCTTATCCACAGTGCAGTTTTATTTGCATATTACGGGAGCTTTAATAAGCCGTACAATTCGCTGGCAAGTAGAGATTAAAGTGACAGTTGCCTTGATATTAATGTTGCAGGGAAATACTGCAAGGCTTCTGACCATGACATGGAGGTGGTGGTAGAGGGAGCCATGAGGGACGTGTTGGAACACGAGGGTGACGTGGTCAGGGCTTGGGTCGGTGACGTGGCACGCCGCCATCACCTCCAGGAACGCAGGATGACGAAGGCGACGCAAGATCGCGAGCTCCTCCAGCAGCGACAGCACCGCGTCCTGGTCGGGCTTCCCTTCGCTCCCGGGGCCTGGGCAAGAACAACGTCAGGTTTAATTCACCAATCAGCGGAGTCAGCGGAGTTGCAGTTTCGAACAACCAATCAACCATCAATATAATTACGGAGAAGTACATTGAAGCTGGGGTTTGCAGCTTCTAAGCGTAGATTATTTTGGTTCGGTACAATTGAGGCGAGACAAGAAACTCACATTGCTATTTTGCAGCTATAATTTTCGAGCTTCTAATGACTCACTTCTGTATTAATGACTAAATTCTGTGTTAATGACTCACTTCTGTATTAATGACTAAATTCTGCACTAATGACTCACTTCTGCACTAATGACTCACTCTTATTATCCTTGGCGATGGTGAGGGCGGGCGTAGGCCTCCTGACAGTAACGGGAGTGCCGAGCCACGAGTACGGCGAGTACACCGTCGGCCCGCCGCACCTGCCGCGCCATTATGATTAATTAGGTCAATTTAATTAATTAGATTAATTAGATTATTTGTAAGAGTTAACTGTATTCACTGGAACTGTCCCTGTCTTCACTAGAACTGTCCCTGTCGTCACTAGAATTGTTCCTGTCTACAAAAGAACTGTTCCTGTCTTCACTAGAACTGTCCCTGTCGTCACTAGAATTGTTCCAGTCTACAGAAGAACTGTTCTTGTCTTCGCTGGAACCAATAACTACTAGTTTTTTACGCTACATGTCACGATATTTCCATGCTAGCGAGCAAGTCACGTCAATGGCACTGAAGTAATATCAAAGTTATCAATAACAGTAGCAATAGAAATAGTATTGCCGATGACTGTCTACATAGAGAACAGCTTCGAGCTTCGATGAAATAATAATTGTCAAGAACGTATTGCATCGATGAAAACTGTTATCACTTTTACAAAACTATTCCATATACATACAAATTAGTTAAGATCTAAACAAAATAGTACGAAATTTTTCATATTAATACAAACCGTATACATAAAAATATTTCATATCCTTACAAAATAATACATATTAGTGCAAAATTTTCCACATTAATACAAAACTTATCCGTACAAGTATCCTACCGTGTACAGATCTACGTATCCTGTCGTGTACAGATCTACGTATCCTACCGTGTACAGATCTACACTTATTTATTCATTCACGATTTATTTCGCAATTGTCATTATTATATTAATACAGAATATTTCATATAGAAACAAATAATTCTTCTAAATATAAAACTGATGACGCAGATGGTGCAGTTGGGCTCACGTGTAGGCGGTGCCAGGTACAGTTGGTCGCTGCAGTTGGTCAGGGCTGAGCAGCGGCAGCGAGGTGGTCACGCACAGCTGGTCCAGAAGATGGCACGATACCGTCTGAATATGACCAAATTCAATGAATCAATAAATTATATTGTTAATAGTATTGTGAACCTAATGAGAAAATAATAGGTTAACGGAGAAGTGGAGTGTTAAACTTTCTGTAAGTTAATGAGGAGATGGAGTGTTCAAAGTTTTATTCTGAAGGTTAACGAGGAAGTGTAGGGTTAAACATTTTATTAGGAATGTTAACGAGGAAAAGTATAAGGCAAGGAACCTTGTTAAGGTTTGCGACGGAAGAGGCTGGTTTAACAGCCCCCTGCTCCGTGGTGGGGCGGGCTGGGCTGACGGGGGGCCGGTCTCGGGGGTCGCTGATCCCCACGCACGCCCCCCACACGCTCGACACGCTCCCCACACTCTTCCTGGGGCACCACATATACGATGTACATAAATAACTTCACGTTATATGAGCCAAGAATTTAGAGAAAAAACATTTTTTAATATTACAATAGCACATATGCAAAGCCAAGAATTGGGAAAAAGGCAGTTCAAATATTTTATAAGCCTAAATGCAAAATGATTCTAATATGAAATTTCTCGTTAATGAAGGACGAGATCTTGTTCATCTTGGTTAAGAAAAAGTATCTGAGAGAGACACTGCGTTAGAAACCGCTTCAAGCTTTTATAAATTATAGTGTTACTATTATAAATAGGAAGACATAGAACACAATTGTGCCATGTCGAAATTATTAAGAAACTATCAACATAAAGAATATACAATAGAGATAAAACTAGAACTTTTATGAGATATAGAGATAGAGATAAGCCAAATACTTTTAAGTTTATAGAGATAAGCAAAAACTTTTAAGTTTCTTTTTTTAGTCATTATAATAAATTCTGAGCAGATAATTGTCTATTGACAAAACTAAAAAATCAGTCCGTACTTGGAGAGACTGAGGGTGGACTTGTTTAGGGCAAGACGTGACTCTGAGGGGGCGAGCGGGCGCCTGGGGAGGGTGCTGGTGTTGGCAGAGGGACTGTCACAGTCCACACCCTTAAGACCACTCGACCTGTGCAGGTCCAGTCCACGCGTCCTGTGGACACTCGCCGTAATGAGGACGGTAAACTTTAACGCATGTTTCTTCATATATTCCGCCATGGCTCCCAAGACTCCAAGGCAAGCGAATCTCAACGTATTTCATGTAATGTGAAAAAGGCATTGTTTTTAATTTAACATGTCTTTATGGAGGCTTCTACTATAAATTTATGTAATTTGATTAGCATATAAGACTGAATTATTTATTGTTTTATTTCGCTTTTAGAACTATGGGGGTTCTGGCTAAGAAGCAAATGCAATGCATAAAAAATGAAGGCCTTGATAGTTTGTGAATTCAAACATTAAAATTACAAAGAAAGTGGGACTAATTTCACGACCATCGAAAGTATATCAAATGTTAAGTCTTTAAAGTAGAAAATAATTAAGAGAATTTCGCAAAGTAGTTGAGACGTCAATGGCCATCTCACGACGTCTCGTTCGGCTATCTCATAAATACAGTGTAAATTATAGATAGAGAGTTCTCTAAATTTTTTATATTGCAATATATTAAATAAATACATATAATGCGGTAGGAAGAATTCATTCACCTGTGCAGCGTCATGCTGAGGACCAGGTCAAGGAAGGCTAATATTTTCTGTCGACGAATCGGATGCGGCTGACGCTCAGCGTAGTCCCTTGAAAATATACATCGTCAGGCCATATTATTAATATACACCGTCAGGCCATATTAAATATAATAATATAAATCGTCAGGCCATATTATTATAACATGACCAAATTATTATAACACAGCAAAAGCCATATTATTATGACGTTGAGTTGATTAAAAAATTACGACGGACTAGATGGTTTGCTATCATGAAGCACGTCTAAAAATGTCTAAGGGATAGTGTTGTAAATGGACAATCAATCCGAATATTTAATAATTTTCGGGAATTCGAGTAATTTATGTAAAATATTAGATGATATTCACCCGCGACTAATTGACACCGTCGTGTTCCAGCAATGTTACTCGCTCAGCAACTACTTTCTTTGCGCCAATTAAATCTATTAACTGTCCTAATTAAAAGCAAGCACGCGTAGTTATTACAGGTTGCAGAGTTTGCGTAAGAGCTCTTGTAGCAGATGACCGGTAGTGAGGAATCAAGATCGAGGAAATACGATGAAATAATCTCTCCCTCGTATAGTCATCGAGCAGTGCACGTATAAAAATACGCAACTTGACCTACCGACATCCCAAGATGAAGTTATCATGTTACGGTAACTATCGCACATCCGTCAACTTTCTTGAAAACTTCTATGTTATATTATTGGTGTTTTGGATAATTTCGAGATGTATTAAAGATATCGTGGTACTCAGACGAATTTCGGTTGTAATGACGATTTATTTCGCAATTGTAATTATTATTATTAATTAACTTCAGTTAAGAAAAGGGGACACAACAGAAAGAGACAATTCAATGCAGAAAATATACAGTTTTCTTGTGGAAAACACTTTTATTTTAAATCGCCATATTGCATCTCAAATATACTAAGACAACTGCCAGTAATTTTAAAAACTATGACTTCTCCCCGTGCATGGGTTCAAAATGAGACATCATAATCGCAGTTTGTAATAGATAAACATATCGGATTTTATTAGACATAACGCACAATAATAACACATTTTTATCTAAATGCAGAACTCTGGAATGAAATTAGAATACCACAGAGAGTGCGAACCATTTAGTGAAAGTGGAACAAAGCCAATAAAAAAATAAGAGAAGTGCGTGTCAGATTCTGCTATACGGAATCCATTTATGATCACGATCTCAGCTATCATCATCCTAGTTGATATTTGAAGAGTAGTTTCAACATAGATGAGGAGTCACGTTGTGAGAGATCCGTTAGAACAAGACTCGCACTGCTGCAACGATGGATTATACAGTTCAATGCAGGCAATATCGTGATCGATTTGCCGGGAACGCGTTATCAGGAAGTCGAATGGACCGCGTCGATCGTTCCCTACATGTGATCCTTTCTCTCACTCGAAGTAGAGTGAATTACACTGCAGTCGTGAGCTTCCAACGCTGCAAGAAGTCAATCCAGAGAATGGCGAAGAGATTTCAGTCTTTCTATTACTTTTAAGTACATTCTTTCAAAGGAGGTAGATGTCTTAGCGCGACAAAATCTTTTCAACTATTTACTTATTTAACTGAGTTTTCAGGGACTTAGTGCACTGACAACGTTCACAGATCAAAAGAAGCCTTTACATGGAATTCTTTTACAGTGTATTAAACAACGATGTATCAAAGAATAATTACTATCTTCAATGTCGTGTTACCCTGTGTTTCAACGCTGCAGGTCCTCAATCGGTACTGCAACAACAGCGGTTACTAGTACATGAAGTTGAAGATAAAATTAACAAATTTGTTCAGCGTTTGCTTTAATTAAAAAATTAACAGAGAAACAATACAGGGACGAGAGCGAGACACAGATCCTGTCGTGTACAGATCTACGTATCCTGCCGTGTACAGATCTACGTATCATGCCGTGTACAGATCTACGTATCATGCCGTGTACAGATCTACGTATCCTGTCGTGCACAGATCTACGTATCCTGTCGTGCACAGATCTACGTATCCTGTCGTGCACAGATCTACGTATCCTGTCGTGCACAGATCTACGTATCCTGCCGTGTACAGATCTACGTATCCTGCCGTGTACAGATCAACACGTGCATAAGTCATCTCACCTTGGCGTGAGGTTGGCTGAGTCCCTCACGGAGAGGTCAGCTCCTGCTTCTATGAGGAGCCTAAGGACGCGCCGAGACCCCCTGTAGGTGGCGGCATGGACGGGCGTGGCTCCCGAAGACCCGCACCTCCTGTTGGGGTTGGCGCCGAGACCGAGCAGCAGCTGCACCACTTCCACGTCACCGCCCCACGCCGCGCAGAACAGGGGAGTCTGACCGTGGTCGTTCACGCTCTCTATATGCACTCCTGGGCAACAAGAACTTGCTTTAAGCGTGCAGAACAATAACATGTTTTTTATTAAGCACTATAGTGTTTGCCATGCAGGCCCTAATTGATTTTCAACAATATATAAGGGGAAAAAATTGGTCGATATATAATTTTACCGGTTGCTAATGTCCAAGGAACAATTAAAGCTAACTAACAGATCTAACAGGCCAAACTTGGGCTATTCTTCAGCACCGAACATATTATACTAGTAAACATTTTGTCATGTAATCGCACAATAGCTGACAAATGAGAAAATAATTACCTACAAATCATATTGTGAACGGAAGTTATAGTTAACAAAAACACAATTAAAACTTCAACCTAAATGGCGCGAGCACCAGATGCCTGGGAGAAAACTTTTCCGTCTAGACCACGACTCAAGCCACACTCAAACACTCATGTCGACACTACATCTCTGTGGTAATTGTCTCTGGAGCAAAAACGTGATAAATCTCGTAATTGCATTGATCGAAAATGGTAGTTGGCACCGTAAAAACCCACACAATTGACGTTTTCGACGATGCGCGCTACAATCCATCAGTTAGCTGCTGAGGGCACGAAGGCGCAAGAAAACTTGCAATGAAGTCGATATCTCAGGGCAAAGAGCACCGTTTTAACTCAGTCCGTTTTAAGTCAAACCGAAGACGACGTCGCAGTGTGCGGATGCAGCTTCCTTCGCCGCGACCTCCGGCGGCTGGGTTCACTTATAACGCTTACGTTAATTAACGCGGACAGTTACGGAGGCAACATTAGTGAAACCGAATCACTCGTTAAATCTAATTCGAGAAAACTGCCACAAGATTTATTAAGACGCACACAAGTCAAGCAATTTATACTAACCGCATTACGATTTCAGGTTCAGGAATGTTTCCATTTACAGTGGACCAAAATTTGAGGAAATTAGAGAAATTTTTAGCAACATTATTAATTTCGATAAGCTTAATTAAATACTGAAAGTGGCTTGAAAATAAATCTCATGGAAGTGTACGAAATGTAAAAAAATTCAGCTGTGAGATAAATTACAGATAGCAGTTATCACGAAGCAATATACTTCGAATGTATACTTAACTTGTGATGATAATAAAATTAAATTAAATACAAAATAATAATCAAATAACAAAGAAACCAGGGTCAGAGATCGCCAAGCAGAATGTCTCTGTCGCCGATGACGGCGGCTGGAAGTGACGCTGCACCTAACGGCGGTGGGTATAAAGGCAATTAATCGCTCCAGGGCACGACCGTTCCATGGTTTCCGACGCATTTTTCTGCTCTCGTCGGAAAAGCAGTCAGCTAATCCATCGTAAAAGAAACAAAATCAGAGTTTTGTAACGAACACAATACAATACTCAGGAGCGCTGCAAGACAGAGAGTTCGATAAGTTCGACAGGGGCCCACGAAAGTCGTGTACTTTCCCAACAGCAGAAACCCACGGAGCTGAAATCGATTTTCTAATGAAATTAGATGGAAAGTGATTCCTGCTTTTGGTTACGCCACCTCCAAGTAAACATAAGGAATCTCAGTTAATGGCTCACATGCCAGAACTTTTTTTAAACTTTTACTGTACGAAAGATTATAATTTTTTGTATTATTAACTCACTAAATAATCGATTAGTATAAATGTAGATTATTACCGGGTTCATCATACACGTTCGGATGCTATATGATAATAAGTAAACACTTAATCAATTATTTTTCTAATCCGATATGAATAAGGTCGCTATAACACAAACCACTTAAATTCAGTTGTAGAGGTCATTAAGCAAAGTGAGGCTTGAACATATCATATCGAAAAGAATAACAAAGAAAGATACTTCTGTATAAATTGAACTTGACAATGCAAAGCTACAAAGATAACAGCCAAATTTTTTTAACCCACAGATTATTTAAGGTTACAAAACTGAAGAATTCTTTAAATAAAGTTATTATATCGTTATTATCTTCAGGGAAGATTATGACGTCAAAATAACAAGCGAAAAATGTGTTTTTAACTCTGGACGAACAAACATACATCTGAATAGACTATTGATGGCAAGGACTTATAAGCTACGTCTTCATAAATACTCACAATTCAAAGAATGCTCGGCAAGGCTGAGTAAGTTATTACAGTTTAAATTAAGTGTCAGCATACGACAAAAAACCACACTCGCCTACGCAGGTTCGGCCTTGCGCTCAAAGAACTTCAGATGGCATAAACTTTTACGATTGTGAATTTAGTCAACATTAGTTCTGTTGTAGCGAAGGTTTCGTGCCGGGAATTCACGCCTCTATTTCAAGTTCAGTTTCGCAGTAACATGAGACGTTCAATGAATTCAAATTCTCTTACAGGTGGATGTTTTTATAGAGAAAATATTCTAGTATGGAATTTTAGTACACGTTTTTCGCTCAAGTCATAAATATCTCGGATGATTATGGATGAAATCAGAAATTAAATGCCAATGGAAAAAAAACACAGCCGTTTGTAAGTTATTGTCATCTCGACATCTGAAGGAACTTTATATAAAAAAATATAACTCTGCAGTACTCACTGCAGTGAGTGACAGAGAGCACATTTTCTCGTCGACGAAAACTTGAGGTCACGGACAGACGGACGGACAGACGGACAGACAGACAGACAGACGGACGGACGGACGGACATGGCGAGCACAATAGTGCATTTTTTAGCGTATTTCACAATAGTGCAAAATACGCTAAAAATGAATAAATTTGAAATTTCAGACTATAAAAGCTAGCGAGTAACTATATGATTTAAATGATACAAACAGGAAGGGTTAAGGGTTAAACGAAGTTTTGTAGATAATATATAGAAGTGAGTGCAAGTCTGGGCTCAGCAACGGGCCAGCAGCGTTGCACGTCCTCGACATCCTGCAGCTCGACCGCAGGAATGTCGCCTTCTTCCTCAGCCCGAGCAATTTGAGACGAGACACAAAAATTTACCTCAGACCTTCATCTCCAAGCAGAAATGAACGCAATCACAGACTCAGCTGGGACCTTTATAATTTTCCTCATGAACAGAAGTTTCCTCGTTATTTTCAGGAGCAAGAATAGTGCTTAACTTTATTACTTTAACTTAACAACTTAACTTAACTATTACTTAACTTTATTAACAACTTTAACACTAACTCTAACTTTAACACTATAACTTTTAAAATAGTAGTCATTGATTTGCCTTCATATGCAGTTTATAATACAAACATTTAATTCACCCCAGAAACAAATGAAACAATAATTCTAAACAGCATGTAAAACCAAATATTCATAAAGCTGAATTTAAAAACTATTTAAAGCTCAAAAATAAGGCTTTGAAATAAGTTTCTTTAGCATTTAAGCAAAAAATTTTCAACAGTTATTGTGTGAAGTGTCACATCACACGTTACACTCGTCAGTACAATGCATATCAAACCAGTTTTTTTTAATATGCATGAAAATACAGCGTAAATTGCTTTAAATGCGTAGATGATTGCATCTCGTCAAGTTGGAGTATTGCGAACATTAATTTTCAATGCCACGATGAATAGCCTAATGACAGCAAGGGCTCCGTTTATCGCTTACCAATATTGGGAGTTTTTATACGCATACACTGCAGGGGTGCGGCTTGCAGCCTTGACATGAGCACTTTAGGGGACATTGCTATCACATCTCCTGACATGTAAAGTATTCAAGAGAACGCCGCATTACGCTTCCATTATTTCGCAATAATTTTCAGTCGTCTTACCCAGACGAAGTAACTGCATAAATATATATATGTAACGAGGCATGCGTAGAAACACTACTCAAATGAATGCAAATGCGACAACATGATTATAAATTGAGTGCCGGCACCACAGCGATGATTGGGACATATTTTCAGTTTCATACGGACGAATTTACCGTCAATTAAACTGCATCTAAGCTAAAATCGTAATTTGAAGCAACTAAAATGAATTCATTATAGTGCAAATAAGAACAACTTAAAAGAGTAAAAATGTAAAAAATCAAATGAGAAATAATCTTCAACACTTCACAAATGAAAAAATATGGAAAACATAACATGTATTCATAATAACAAGAAACGCCGAAGTCAAAAATATAATCCAATTAAAGAAAAATAGAGCTGATATTACAATCACAGGAAGCTCTGCTCGTATATCCGTCGGACAATGCCACAATTCTCGAAAATCTTCTCAACACAAATGCATTACAAAATTAAGGTAATTTGTAGAGCAGAACCAAGATGGGGTTTTCCTTTATTGAGCATCACAGGAGACCAATAATTTGGTACCCTCGCCTTGTGGATTACACAATGCGGTTGAGATGAGAGCGCTACAGCAGCAGTTCTGTAGCACATAATTACAAGACTCGTAGAGGATGCGCCGGTGACAGTGAAAGTCGAATGACAATCACTCCGTAAATCAAGGTCGGCCATAACTTGATGACAGAAACAACAATCGCTTGAATAAATTCGTGTTTCACGTTTAATTGAACTTGTTTCACGCTTACGATGTATAACTTTGCGGAAAAAAACTAACGCTGAAATAAAATTTACTTAAAAGTTTAAGCATCAGATTTTCGAATTCCAATTCAAACAACTTAAGTAAAGAAAATGAATTTATTAAATAAAAATTTTGAAGTGCGCCAGGCCTAAGTCATTACTTGGAGATTTTCGGTGAAAACGTAATTAACACACATACAACAAATTAAAACAATTAGACATGCCAACATCAATAAGTAATTATTCATATAAGCGAATGCATGAGGCGAAGTGTTTAGAAGATAAACATAGGGTTTGAACATGGGAAAAATAGCTAGGCGTAATATGTGTGGATACTGAATGATTATGATTACACAATGCGACATTACGTCTTAACCGACGCGGCAAGACTATGACAATCGTTACTCGGAAGACTTCCTCAATGCAAGAAATATATAATTTAGAATATAAAGTTGTGCTTGCTGACCTTCAGTATAGATCTTTCTACATTGAACTCCGTCTCTTGAAAGAT